TAACAAATTTGCCTGCCAGAATTTCATAGATGACAGCGGAAGACATGAGACTCCTGGGTCAGAGATGAAGCACAATTCATTGTTCACAGAAATAGCAGCAGCCAGAATATCAGCATTTTGCCCTAATTCCCCCAGGGTGATATAAAGTCCGGATGACACAAGCACACACATTGCAGGGTAGAAATACTAGGCGTAGAAACTCTGAATCTTTTATAGCGAACAGTAAACACTATCCCTATCTTCCAAGACTGCTTGCTATACAAACATCCTTCAAAATAAGTCTAAAGAAAAGAACTACTATCTCTGCTCAAAAGAGATGCAGAAGTGCAAGAAGCCTATGGAGAATGGTTTTTCAAGTGACTTTTTAAAAACTTACTTTTGTATCTAACAGAGATTAATTATTCATTTATATTGTGAATAATAATTTATCAATATAAAGTAACTCCCTTTGCTCTGCTATTTTTCTTCTCAGTTTCATCCTTGAAATTAATATTACCAACATTTTTTGTTGTGTGCTTATATGTGACTATTACAATTTTACTAAATATCATTACTTTTAACCTTTATATGTCATTTCATTTGGGGTACATATCTGGTACAGAGCATTTAGTTTACTCTTTTGATACAATATAATAACTATCCTTTACTAGAGAACTTTAACATATCTGAATTTATGCACTGTGATATTTTTAACCTGTTTTTTCTCTAATATGTACTTCTTCCTGCTAACCTTGGAAAACAAAACCAAAACCCTTTATTTCACAATAGTTCTCAAGTTTGTTGTTGTTCCCTTTTTCTCTCTAGAAATGTGTTTATAATTTCATCCTCATTCTGCTAGCAGTTGCCTTTAAATTTTTAAACTAAATATTCGAATATCTACTTTCCTACCTATCTGTTGACCCTTCTCCCATTAAAAAGACTTGGAACACTTTCCATGAGAGACTATGGACTCTGAGAAACAAACTGAGGGTTCTAGAGGGGAGGGGGTAGGGGGATGGGTTAGCCTGGTGATGGGTATTAAAGAGGGCACATACTGAATGGGGCACTGGGTGTTATACGCAAACAATGAATCATGGAACACTACATCAAAAACTAATGATGTAATGTATGGTGACTAACATAACATAAAAAAAAAAAAAAACTTGGAACACTTTCATCCCTCTGAACCCAGACATTTTATTGGAATAGTCAGGCTATTATTTTTGTAGATTTTTTTTTTGCCGTATAGATGCTCGAGGAATTATTTTTGTTCATTACATTGTTTCATACAAATGATCATTTAGAAAGGATCTTGAGGTTGTAGCACTCACTGCCATTTCTCATTTATGATATCATGCCCATACCTTACTTCTACAGTCTTAAGGTCGGCTGGAGTACAGAATGGGTACGCAGAGATTCATGATATGCTTTCCGCTTAACAATGTCTTTCTATTGTCTTCATAAATATTTGCCCCAAAGTAAAATGCTTAGGTCATTTTTTTTTACCCTCAAAATTCAAAATCCTTCAATAGAAATGTTCCTCCCTTCTGGCATTTAGTGTTGGAGAAGAGAAATCTATGATGTTGCTATTGATTTTATTTTCTTGTGGCTAACTTTTCCTCTCCAACTTTGAATGCTTACAGAATTTGTCCAATATTCTTGAAATTCAGAAATACCATGAGATTGTGTCTATATTAATTTTCCCAGTACTTGGTAGATTCTTTACACAACTAAAGTTATATGTATTTTTATCTTAGGAAAATTGGCTTTAAGTCTCTCTTTGCTAATTGTTTCTTCTTTTTTATTCCATTCTAGGCTCATATTATCTCTAGTGTAGTTAGAGCAAGATTATTAAACTTATTATTTTTGCTCATCTACTTCATTAATTTGTCCTTTTCCTCTAAATTCTAGGGAACTATCTTGAGCTAATCCATCAAATCTTTATTTTAGATTCATCTTTAAAGTACCAAATCTGCTGTTCATTGCCATCTATGTGTTGTTTTTTGGTAATTTAGCAATTGTTTATCTTGTGTAATAGCAATTTTCCCCAGTATCATTTTTTGCCCAAAGGATGAAAAATGCTATCAAATATCCTTAACATGAATCAAGAGATTTGATAAATGAATATTTGTTCTCATTCCTCAGAAGGGTCCCTTTTTGATTTTTGAATCTCTATCTATCTAGTGACTATTCTTCATCAGCTTGTTTTTATAATTTGCAGATATAAAATTCTGTCCTATTATATTATTTAGGCATCTGTCTATATAACACAGTCCTCATAAAGGAGAAAGAAGGAAACACTTTCTATAGTTTCATTTGTTAGTGGACCAAGGGAAGTATCATCATCAGGTCCTAAACTAGAGGAATGCAGATACTATGAAGGCAGGAGAACCAACTGCTAAACGAGCTGTTGCTTCCGGTATGCTAGAGTTAGGTTTTTAGTGGGTAGCAACCTGACTTTTCCCCCACTGACGGCTCTCTAATCAGATACCTCTTCTAGCCCCTTCTGCTTTGGATTTTCAGATAGCTGTCTAAATTGAGAACTGTACTTCCAGAAGGATTAAAAAGCGTTTACCAGATTATTGGGGAAAGTCTGTTCTTGAGCTGTTTTTCCCCCTTAGTGGTTATTCTCCCAGCCCTATAGGTACTGCCCCTTTCCCTACATGAATTCAATTGCTCTAGCTGGTCCACCCCTCTCTGCTGTATTCCACAAATCTTCCATACCAGGAGCAAATGCTATCTAGTCAGTTGCTTCATCCCTAGGGTAAATAATGGAATTCCCAAAGACCCTTATTTGCCCCTATCTGAATATTTCTCCCTTGATGCTTGCCTCCCCAGCCCTTTCTTCTCTAAGATAGGATGTTCTCGTACACTGTCTTGTGAAAATCTGGTCATTTACATTCCAGTGTAAACCCACTGTTGTCTGCTTTGAATTGCTACCTGTTTATTAGTGATCAAAATGGTCTCCAATCTAACCCCATCTATAATTTGCCATTTAGAAAGTTCCCAGAATGTCTGAATTGTGCATGGAAACCTGAAAATAACATCATTATAGCACTTCCCTCCTTGATGTTTATTTCCTTAAAAACAATCACCATGTGCCATGATTTTGCTAAATAAAAAAATAATTGTAGGGCGCCTGGGTGGCTCAGTTGGTTAAGCGACTGCCTTCGGCTCAGGTCATGATCCTGGAGTACCGGGATCGAGTTCCGCATCGGGCTCCCTGCTCAGCAGGGAGTCTGCTTCTCCCTCTGACCTTCCTCCTTCTCATGCTCTCTGTCTCTCATTCTCTCTCTCTCAAATAAATAAATAAAATCTTTAAAAAAAAAATAAAAAAAAATAATTGTAGATGTCCTAGAAAATATGTTGCTGAAATACTGGCAAATATTTATGTAGAACAAATATTAATATTTAGATTGAATTCCTTGAGCACTAAACTGAATAGAACAGCTCATTAACTACTGATGGGAATTAGGAGAAAAATTCTCCCCTCACCCCTCTCTCTCTCAAATTATGTTGTGTGTGTGTGTGCGTGCATAGGCGCGCTTGTGTGTGTGTGTGTGTGTGTGTGAAATACTGCTACTTGAGTTACAGAGCTTCACTTTAAATTCTTTCTCTCTAGCAAGATATCTTCTATTTAGTCATCCAGATCCTCTATCCCTATTATCTACTCCACTCTTTGCCCTGAAACTGCATGAATTATGCCAACAGAATTCTATTTCTCCTGCTTTCCTTCTGGGTTCTACCGATGGGAAATGCAAGCAGGAGACTAGAGGAAGGGAGAAGTGTGAAATCAGAGTATTTATTTCTCCAGTTCATGAGACCACCTGGGTTGACTATCCCATGACAGTTGGTTTCTGATTCTCTCAGTGATCATCTTTATACCAAGCATTCTCAGACATCTCCCTCCGCAGGTTCATTTAAGACTAGGGGTCGAGACAGCTTATCTCATATTGGCACTGAGTTCCTGCACTATTCCTTTAGTTTCCCTAAATACTGCCCACACGTTATAATAAGTCCTTTGTAAATATACCCTCCTTGAATTTTCCTATTTTGAGTGTGCTATTAATTTCCTATTAAGACTGACACACATACCCTGTTCATCACTGTAGGTCTCTGACATGCATGTAGTCAAGGTTATTCCTTTGGCTTATTGGGGATGGGGCTGTTACAGTTTACTTAACCAAGTTTGTCCTTCCTCCAGAATGTCATCATTGCCCCATTGGGAGTTTTCTTCCCATAGGATAAAATATAGTTCTACTGTTTACCCTGTTTTCCAGCATGGAATGCATTTGTTTGTTTGTTTAGAAATAATTCCAGTTGTTTTACTGGGATTTTAGGAAGGATGGAAGGTAAAAGTAGAAAATAAAAAGTGAAGATTCACTGGGGCGCCTGGGTGGCTCAGTCATTAAGCGTCTGCCTTCAGCTCAGGTCATGATCCCCGGGTCCTGGGATCGAGCCCCGCATCGGGCTCCCTGCTCGGCGGGAGCCTGCTTCTCCCTCTCCCACTCCCCCTGCTTGTGTTCCCTCTCTCGCTGTGTCTCTCTCTGTCAAATAAATAAATAAAATCTTTGAAAAAAAAAAGTGAAGATTTAAATCGCTGTATTAAAACATAGCATTTTTTATCCTACCTGTAAAGATTTTTAAGAAAGAGAATTTTATGTTTCCTATCATCCATATACTGACTATTCTACAACTACATTTAACCTAAAATAAATTATTTGAGTTGAAAGTTAAAACTAGCTTTTGTTTGTGGTTTTATAGCGTACTTGAAATTTTTTAAAAATTTTAATGTGAAAATATGAAAAATAAAATGTTCTCTTTGCCTTAAAATATTAATTTCAGGAACAAAACTGTATTTCAGTTTTCACGAAATGTCTAACAATAAAACATTTATATAGGGATGTTTTGTCTTCATACAACTTATGATACTATGAGAAACAAAAAACAATTAAAATCAATAAAAAGATAAAATTCTATTTCCATACTGTGTAGCCGCTGTATTCCTCTATTAGCAGTGGACAAAAATGCTGATCATCAAGTAGTCCTGGATCTTCTAGGGACTAGGCCTCTGGGACACTATAATCTTAGGAGCTGTTTCTGAGTGATATTTCTTTCTGATCTCATCTATTTCACCATCATCAAGTACAAATGAAGCCAGCGCTGGAATTTGAGAAAAATAGTTCTTAGCCAGGATATGTTTGTGTTTGATCTTGTGAATAAACAAGGGTTCATATCCCTGAAAAGAAAAGAAAATCAAATTCTATTAAATGTCACAGATATATTTTGCCAAGCAAAAAAATAAAAACACTTTCATATCTCGGTGCCTTTACTTATCTGTTCTCTCAGCCCAGAGAACGCTGCTTCCTACTTTGTCTGTCATCTTTCAGGGCTCGGCTATGATGCTCTAACCTTGAGGCCTTTCCTGACTCTCCTCCTCTGACCTCTGAGTCCAAACTAATCCCTCCTTCCTCTCACTTGCAAGTACTATTATGTATTTTAATTGTAATATTTAGTTCATTCTGTCTTCAATTTTACTACCTGCTTGAGAGTCTCTCCATTATAAGAAATACTCCTTGAAGGTTCAAACTGGGTTTTTTTAATATAAGTGTCTATCAACACCACCCAAGTTCAATTATTTTTGAATGAATGATTTTGTCACCTTGTTTCACTCTTTAAATCTACTTCAACACTGATACAATTACCAGCTTTTGACTGAGTTATTTTTTCTAAAATTGGTACTTATATCCCAATCTCCAGGGTCCAAAACAAAGATCTCAATGGTATTTTGACAGTATAAACTTCCTTTGCTCCCCTTTTACTGCCTTAGATTCCCACCTCATGAGTCCATTTTCTGTTTTCTAAATAGAAAATAACCTTTCTGTCTTTATCAAGCCTCTGTACCTTTCCACTTTAATTCTTAATTAATGTTTAGGCTTCTTGTCTCTCCACAGCTAGCACAGAACTTTGAACTTTTTCTGTTATGTAGCAATCCACCGTATAAGACCATCTGTCTTCTAATGAGAGTGGCAGACTGCTTGCTGCCAACCCAATATCCACTCTCTATTCCACTGGTATTTAGAGGCCTGATTTTGTATTTTGTGATGTGCTCAGCTTTCCTAGCCTTTATTCTAACGAGGGGTGGGCATGTGACAAGTTTCAGGCCATTATACATATGTGTATATATAGAACAGAAGCCATTGGACAAAGCTTACAAGAAAGCTTTTTAAGAGAATGCAGGAGATGATGTAGCTATTTTATCCCTAAGAGTCCACAAGCATGAGAATGAAAGTCAAATGTTAAGTACAGCTGAAGAAAAAGTTAGAGGGCCTGGGTTTCTGAGAGCATTGTGGAGCCACCATCCGGACCCGAGACTGCCAACCTCTGTACTTCTTGCTTGATGGACACTAACTTCACATTTGATTAAGTCATTATCAATTGCTTAGTATGTTATTTGCAACCAAACTTGAATACAACTGAAACAATGAAGAATTGTGTCCATTACACATCCTGGTTTTTCTCCAAGCTCATAGCACAGTATGAGGAAGGCACATTCAAAAGAAAATTCTGGTTGAATTAATAAATACCATCTATTTCCTTTATTAATCTTATCAACCCTTCTTTTCAACCAAATCACAAATACAACTTGTACCTCCTCTTAAAATTTGTCTTCTAAAAGTAAGACATCCCTCACTAAAGATCCTTCCATTGTGTCAAAACAAAGGTAAAGAAAGCCTAGAGAAAAGGAGCCAAAGCACACAATATTCTGGCAGAGAGTATTATGTAGGAGAATACTGGGCTTGTTTTTAAGTTTCCTCTCTACAGACACATATAATAGGGCAAAATACTCATCCTTTGCACTAAGTGTGTTCTACCACTTCTTAGTCCTTACGTCATTAAGAAAACTAACACATTTCTATTACGCAACATTAAATTACATGTGTACAGAACTTTATAGGTTTTCAAAGCACCTTTATAGAACAAAAATGTAATCATTAAAGGTAAGATAAGCATAGTATGGTACATACAAGCAAAGGAACAATAAGCAACTTTTAAAGAATAATATGGAAAGATATCCAATATATATTATCCCCTTTTCATATTATCTCCTTTTTACAGATGAGAAAACTAGGGCACTGAGACATCAGCAAATTTGCTCAACCTCTCTCAGCTCCTGAGTGACAGAGCCAGAATTCAACGAGGGCTGCTCTGATCCTCTGTATTGATTTCATGTTTTTAGCTGACCTTTATAAAAATTTATGATGCAAAGAAGGCAGGTCTTAATGTCCTATAGATTGATTATTAGTGACAGACATGGGGAAATACTGGGTCAGGTCTCCTGACTTTAAATCCACTGTTGTTCCTACTTTGACCAATGTGCACACCACAAGAAACTGCTCTGCCTCATTTACGTTCAGAGAACAGAAGTCTTTTTCCAGGCTTTTCCTATAACTTGTGTCATGACTGCAGGGAGCCAAGATTATTTTAAATTTTAAGCATTTTTTTACTTACTGGGAAAGCAAATATCTCTGTGCATTAAGGAAATTCTAGAAATGCTTTAACTTGTGGCAAGATATAAACTATTCTTTAACGAGGCTGAAAATTAATATTTACAAGATTAATGTAGGCCAAAACCATAAAAAGGCATTTTTTTTTTTTTTAGTTTGTCTGGTTGAGAACCTTAGCTCTATTTATAGAAATTCAGTAAGATCAGTATCCTGAAATTAGAAATGCATGTGAATAGAACATTTAATTTGGTACTGCAGTAATTTGATTGAATACACAAAGGGAGTGTGTGGATTAATTGAAGCAGTAGAATATCAGCTTTGGGAATGAACTTCAATCCCACTATGGGTCCTAGATGAAATAATATTGTAGTGTTGGCTATGCCTCCAGTGATTAAATATTTATGAAGCAGTTGAGTTTACTAAATATAATATTTAACACAGTTTCAGTTTCATGCTGCTCTTTCTTTCGATCCCTAGAGTGAAATTTTTCTTAGCCTGGCTTCTACTAGAAAATTATTCAAAAAAGCTAAAAATTTAACTAGTTTCTCCTCCTTATACCTTCTCCCTCCCCAATAAAAACACAAGCAGGGAATAGCACCATTCAAAATGACTATTAAATTTGAAGTCATTTCTTTCTCTTAACTGACATTTTGAATGAAATTAATAGTATAGAAATTTAATCAATAGAAGGCAGAGAATCAGTATCAGCTGTTGGAATCCTAAACTTGCTCAGTGTCAGTGAAGCTCTCTGATGAACTCAATTCTGCTCATCAAAATGTTTTACAGATTGCATCTTGTAAGTTACTAAAATTAAATGGTTTTGAATTTTTACAGTGCATTCCCCACTCCTAGTCAGTTGGGAGAAAATGAAAAATGGAGCCTCAAAACCATATCCCATCCGTATGATTTCCATTTAGAGCACAAGATTATGAGAAAAATTTGAGAATTTAGTGTGCTTTTTAGGCAGACTCATGATGGTTAATCAAAGAAGGGCAGATTCTAGGTTATATAATATCTATCTGGTATTTCATTTATTCATTCAACAAATACTCACTAAACCCCTAGTCTGTGACAGGCACTGGTGTAGTTTATTAAGAGATATAGACATGAATAAGCTAAATAAAATCCCTGCCCTCACGGAATTTACCATGGAATGACATGCTCAAACTTGCTATTATTAGCAGAGAGGGGAATCAAGTTTAGATACTTATAAGATGTTTGGATCTCTTATCTTGTCTTTTTCTGTGCCTTAGCTTCCTTTTAATTTTAATCTCAGCCATACATACCATCCACACATTTTGTTACTGTTATTCATTCTCTGTTTCTTAATCCAATGGAAGTATGTAAATTATTCATGGAATGTAGTAAAAGGCAGTCAAGTTATCCTCTAATATTTTCAATGATTAAATTAATTCCTCAAATTCTACTTTCTTACCTCTTCAATACTTGTTAGCTTGAGATGAGCAACACCTTCATCTTTGGTAAGAAGAATGCAGTTCCAGGGGGACCATTCCAAGGACTTATCCCACCTGACCATGACCAGATCGTTGAGATCCTTCCAGGCACTGAGCACTGACTGCGATGCCCAGATGTTCTCTACCAGGTACTGAATATCTTGTAGCTGCATGTCGAAACAAGTTTGAAAAATCATGTTTTCTTCTAAACATAACACTTCTTTAAGATTATTCTATTACTTGAGGAAATAATCACATTGAGTATATGTTTAAAAGAGAAACATTATTCATGAAGTTTTTAGTGCTTCTTACAGCTTATTTTTTGCCAAATCTCTGCTCACTCTGCCCAAGCTACATTATCAGTTTCACAGTCATGATTGCATCTTTAACCCAGAGAAAGCTGCATGTATTTCTTCCAGTATGCTAATTTTACCTTACATGTAAATGGTATTCAGTGCTTTTCAAAATGTATTTGCCACTATCCTTATCCTTATCCTAACCCTTATCCTCAGGGTTATTATAGGTCATTTTTTTCCACTTTACAAATGAAGAAACTGAGATTTGATAAAGATTAAGCAATTTGCTTAGTGTTATTAAAAAGACTGTTGTTTTAATGAAAAAAGAAGGAAAATGGGGGAAATGAAGTAACGGTTTAAAAACTTTTTTTAAATCAGAGGGGGAGACGAACCATGAGAGACTATGGACTCTGAGAAACAAACGGAGGGTTCTAGAGGGGAGGGGGATGGGGGGA